CACCACCTACTCATTATTTTTCACACTCAGCCACTCTCCTAATCACTCTTCCTGGAACATATTGTCCTCGTTCGCCTAAGCTTTTTTTTTTTCKAGTACTGTCGGTTTCTAGACCATTTAGAATTGTAGTTTTATTTTGGAAATTCTGTTCCTTTAATTTTGATCAAACCCTTCAGCAGGTATCCAGTCATCTGCTTCATGTGTTCCTCTTTGTTTTTTTTTTCTTTTTGAATTTAGGGAAAGAAACATGTTTGTGTATTAATGTCCTTCTCAAAAAAATGTCTGGAGTTCTAAGAAGTCATCAGGTGAGTGTATAAATCCGTTTAAAACAACTTTATTAGAAAAAATATCATTTAATCAGTTTTGCATCAAACAGATTTTCATGTAAACAACTAGATTTATTATGGCTCCGCCCACCTGGGCAAGAGGCACACTGTTGGGTGGTCTTGTGTGCACGATATCTCCTGAAAGAAATTATATATTTACTTATAAATAGGTATATATGAACCCATAAGGGTAGTACTGAGTCTGATTAGATTTAGACATCAAAGGGTCAAAGGTCAAGGTCATTTATGATGATTGGTAAAATAAAACTGATTTCTCTTTTTTCTAATTCCTCAACAGTACGAATAAAAAAACCTGGCTAAATGATATGATAAATATATAGTTACATATACTTCTCAGAATATTTAAGTTCAAAAATAGYGGTTAAAAAGTAACTGCATGCCCAGTGCTTTCACTGCAGATGACTCCAGGAGAGGCGGAGGCAGCGTCGATGCTTTGGCATCGAGTTCTTCTTTAATCTTAAAGTAGAACTACTGAGAACGGACGGTGGTCTGTTGCGACACGTTATGTGAGYCACGCTGCAAAGCAGAACCTGATTAGTGGATATTTACGGGGGCTGAGTTWGCTTAAGTATTGCAGTAGAAAACTCCTTCAGGTTCCCTTGAACCGCTATTGGAGACTCTTCTGTGATAGTTGCTCTGATTGTTCTGAATGCTGGATACCAGTATGTCAACAWTTCTTTTTGCTGGGCTTCTGCTGTCTTCTGTTTTAGAGCAGAAAAGGGGAATGCAGGCTAAATCTACATCAAGCCAGTGAATAAAGTACCATAAAATGCAGAGCAGTGAAGAAATAAAGACGAACTCGGAAGAGATTGTTACCTTAATGGAGATGATTTATTGTTGTTGGAGCCTTACATCAGCTTTTTCGCTTCAGCTTTGCTCCTACGTGCATTTCATTAAAATTACTGCTGCCTACAGGTAAAATCACTAAATCCTGCTTTCCTTTGATCTCGTTGTAGTTCAGCTCCACTTTATTTGTGCATTATAGTTGTCTTTTATTTATTTAGCTATTTTTTGTCTTTTAGGGTTATTGTTTAGACACTAAAATTTGACAGAAACATCAACAACATCCACTATTTGCCAAGTCCTCTGAAACCAAAAATGTGATTTTAAAACAGCATACCACATCATAATTTCATTTTTGTAGATGCAGATTTTCCATTTTAAAACATTAAAATACGCAATGTTAATTCTAATCTCAACACAATGGCACATTCTTTATTGAATTCTTAAAAAAAGGCTTGTGATCCTTTTTAATGTAAAAAAAAAAAGGTTCAGCGCTCTCCAACAGCCCAAAAGGCAGAAAGAATAACAGTAATTTCTATCCTGCTGTGACACAGGGTAGCATCACAAACGAGTACACCATCTTTATAGTTTGGGTCAAGAAATTTCCCGTGTTGCTCCACCCCGGCTGGTGAAACGGCTGAGCTTAACTCTGCATATTTCATGAAACTGGTGCAGGCCGGCGGAAAACTGCTGCACACCAGCAAAGTGTGTGTGGATGAGTGCGTAAATAAAAATGTTTGAATTAACTAACTTTGCTATAAACCTATAAAAAAACAACTCTAAAAGATAAAAATCTTACAATAAATTCAAAACTGCTAACTGATACACAGAAACTAAACGGTTGAGTTTTGTTTTAAGTTTTTTGGCTGCATTTTTCTGTTTTTAGTTTTCTTACATACCCACCACCCCTCACTTCAATTCCGTCAGCTTCTGTCTCGTTGGCTTTGAAAGCAAATGTCTTTTTCCTGCGAGGAAAAGCAGCATCGTGGCTCCCCATCCTCTGCATCAAAAACACCCCACCCCACCCGCACGTCCTCTGCAAAGACAGCACTTTCTTTCTGGCTGAGAGAGAGGCCTAAAGAGGGATGGAGAGAGGAATCGGATGAATAAATAAAGGGAAAGATTAGGAGCTGGTTCCTCACGGGACAGAATTATCTGACGATATATTTATTACAGAGGCTGAGTCATTGTCTTTTCAAGATAAGCTACTGAAAGGAAGGATCACACAGAAATCAACTTTTTTAAAAAGTTATCTCGTTTCTGTTAAGGTTCATTTTTGGTAATTGTATGTCTATGATATGCTGTTTACATGTTATTTCAGCTGTTTGTCCTCCTATGGACAACTAATACACTAATGATGATGGTAATACAGCTGTTACAGTGGTTTACACAGTGAGTAGACAGTTTTTGAATAATGAGCTCTTCAGGGTTGGCCTGCAGCAGAGGCAGTATGGGCAAAAACTAAGGGCGCCGTCCACCTAGGAGGCACAATAAATGAGAGATTAATGTAATATTTTATAATGTTTCATCAAAGTGTAGTTGATTCAGTTACCGGTTAATCYGGTTTATGAAGATAACTTGTTTCTCAGCTGCTGTGTTACTTCATATGGTGCAGAGGATTTTTTGTGATAAAAGTATCATTTGTATAAAGTACTTGAAAAAAAATAACTAAGTAAAAGTAAAATTACATGAACAGAAAATGACTTTGTTAAAAAAATCAATTTCATTGATGGGAAAACTACTCGCATAAAAGTCATAAAACTGTTCACCAAATTTTGGGGAAGTAAAAGTATTTTTAAAACATTCTCTAAGAAATAAGCTGTTGAATTTACTGAACCAAACTGGTTCCACTAAACCAGGTTGAGTAAAATTAGCAATATATGTACAGCGGTTAAAATAAGTTTTGAACACGTCACCATTTTTCTCAGTAAATATATATTTGATTTCTTTGTATGTATGGATCACTTGGGTTGTTACCAACATCTGGTGAAAATTTCATGTCATTAGAGAAATGAAGTTATTTGTAATAATGTGGAATGGCACAAGGAAAAAGTATTGAACACATTTACTGAAATTTATCTAATACTTTGTACAAAAGCCTTTGTTGTCAATGACAGCTTCAAGACGCCTCCTGTATGGAGAAACTAGTGGCATGCATTGCTC